GGAACTTCTGTGAAGGTAAAGCCAATCTTTGTGGATGGACACTTATTGGAAGTTGGTGCTGAGGGTCAAGAAATCTCTCAAATTCCAAGGATGGAGTCCAGCCATTGCTCTTTCTCTCCTGCCCCATGGGTCTTCACAATCCCTTGGATTTGGATTTTTCTCACCTGCATTACAACCTCCCACTCAGTGAAAGAAATGTAGAAAGTTCTGATACTCAAAAAAGCAGATTTGGCTGAGTGTGGTGACAAACACCTCTAATCCCAGGACTCTGGAGGTTAAGGCAGGAGGATGAGGAGCTCAAGGTCAGCCTGGGTTACATAAACAAAACCTGTTCTAAAAACAAAACAGAAACAAATGTAAAGCAAACAGAGCTAGTGACATGGCTCAGTGGTAGGGTACTTGTCTAGCATGCATAAGGTCATGAGCTCAATCCTCAGCACCAGCACATACACATATGTATACAGGCGTGCGCGCGCGCGCGCGCACACACACACACACACACACACACACACACACACACACACAGAGATGATATGACAGATTGAAAACTGCCTGTGGTTTTGCATATCTAACAGCTGTGACCTCTGAGGTAGATCACAAAGCTAATACAGCCCCCATCATGTGCACTAAAATGCTGTGTTCTAAAACACTGCTGTCATCTGAAGATTCCTACGCAATCTTGAAATGATTACATGGGAAACACTGCTCTATTTTCAGAGATTCAGGAGACATTTGTCAGGATTAGTTCTGAAATTCAGTGTATTATGAATATAAAGAATCTAATATGGGTATTATAAAGTACACTGAAAATTCTGTTCAGTGCAATTCTGGCATTAGTTAGTCAGGGTCAAGAGCATTGTTGACTCTTAGGATTTAAGCCATGGACATATTAATAGTCAATAAACCATGTGCTACTTTTGTCAAAGGACTGACAACTTTTAGCATTATAAACTCAAACGTTCACTCTTTTTCACCTGCTCTGGTTTATTCACTTGTTTATTAGCTCAAGGAGAGGAGTGATCAAATAGAATAGCAATATATAAGCAGTGCATGATGGTTTCATGATGAGCCAAGACCTTAAGTCAGAAAAACAAGGCTTCTGATTGCATCTTAAACACTTTGGTATTAACAGTGCTGTTTGTGCTGAGGGCCAGTATTCTGGTTTCTGTGCAAAAGTGATACCTTTCGATGTTGTCAATGATTAGGCATTTATATTTTTTCTATATAAAAGTAGCTTACTGTCCTCAACAGTGAATGACCTATATTGCTTTTATTAGATAAGCTAATATTTATGTGACAAATTATATCTACTACCATATAACCATGTCAACAGAAAAACTATATATTATCACTATGGATTATGTTTACTTTTGATTTTCTAAAGCACATTAATCTATTATGTATATGTATGTGTATGTGTGTGAGAATGCGTATGTGTGTATGTGTGTGAATGTGAAAATGTCTGTGTGAATGTGTGCATGTGTACACGTGTGATTGTATATGCATCCATATGTGTGTATGAGTGAATATGTATGAGAATATGTGTATGTGTATATGTATGTATATATGTGTGTGAATGTGAAAATGTCTATGTGTGTGAATGTGTATATGTGTGTATGTGTGCATGTGTATGTGGATGAATGTGTGTGAGACTGTCTGTATGTGTATATATGTATATATGTGTGTGAATATGCATGTTAATGTATATGTATCTGTGTGTATGTATGTGTGTAAACATGTGTGTTTGTGTATGTGTGTGAATATGTGTGTGAATCTATTATGTATGCATGTGTATATGGTTGTGTGTACATATACTGTGTGTATATATGTGAGTGGATGTGTATAATCTATGTATGTGTGAAAGTGTATGTGTGTGAATGTGTGTGTGTATATGTGTTTGTGTATGTGTGTTTGTGCATGTATGTGTGACTATGTATGTGTGTATATGTGTGTGTTTGTGCATGCATGTGTGACTATGTATGTGTGTATATGTGTGTGCTTGTGTATGTATGTGTGTATGTGTGTGCATATGCCAAGAAACATTGGTTTGGTGTGCATTAGGTAAAGGAACTGGCTTGAGACATGGGCTTGGAGTGACTGGTTTCTACACTAACAACATGTAAAGTGAAAAAATTTTAAGTGCCATTGTAAATTAGGAACCAGTCATATATAATCCTTGGTTATGTAGAGGTGCCTAGCTCACCCTGGGTTTGCTTCTGTTTCTGTCATGTCAGCAAGTATATTATTCACCATTTGGGTTTTTTCAGATGAAATCTTTCTAGGCAACCCAGGATGACCTCAGACCTGAGATCCTCTTGCCTCAGCTTCCTCATTCCTGGGATTATAGGCTTGTGCCACCATGCCTGGCATTATTGGTACCTTTTAAACAGCTGCCTAGAATGAATTGAGCTGTATATGTCTTAAACTGACTAGCAAATGATTGTCAAAAGAGAAACAAGAAAGAAGAGAAAGTAAAGCATGGTGGAAATGCTTCAGTCAGTAATTTAACTCATATTTTGTTGAATTGCTGGGAGCAGAGAGACGGTCAAGTGCCTGGGGAGTCACTGGCCAGCCAGGATCCCCAAACCAGTGAGAGAACCAGTCTCAAAAAATAAAATAAAAAAAAACAAAACAAGGTAGAAGTTGCCTGAAGAGGAATGATGCCCAAACTTGATCCCTGGCTTCCACACATGCTCACACTGTTAGGTTCCTGGCAGGTTCCTAAAATGGTGGTGCAGCTTGCATATTCTAAAATGGTGGGTTCAAACTTGGGCGTGGACACGTGCCTCTGTTTGTTGGGAGACCAACCAATCCTGAGCTAAACTGCCCAACCTACATCATGGAGTTACCCAACCACCTAACTACCTACAAAAGATGTCTGACTCCCCCTGCTAGCTGCTGTTTCTCTGCTGCTTCCCTGCTCCCTGAGAGGCAGACCAGTGGTCTCTTTGCTCTCAAATAAACTGCTGCCCCGCCACCCCCATGGAGTCATCTGGTCCGTGGTCTTCGCTGCTCTAATTCCAAACACACACCAGCACCAAAATAAAAACTCAAAAGCTCACACTTATATTGGGCTGACTCTGATAGACTGGTTAAGTGTATGAGAGGACATCTGTTAACATGAATCCATTCAATGTTCCTTCCTCCTGTTTATGTTACTGTTTGTTGCTGTCAGAATATTCAAGCACTTGGGGTGTGTAGTGTCAGAATTGCATTATGGGTGTGACTGATGAAAGACAAAGTTAAGTCCATTTAACAAACCTAAAGCTCAGCCTTAGAACAAAGATCAATGAATGTGCACATATGCATGTTAAGCTGTAATGAAGATTTTCAGATTTCTAAGAATCATTTTATATGCTTACAAATTTTAACAGATTTTTAAATATAAAAAAATATTGGTGCAGACAAACAAGTACCTATTCTTTACCATATGTAAAGTTGTAGTCCATATGTATAAGATCATGGTTTAAATGTAGTAAATTATGTAAATACATTAATAAATTGTACCATTCAAAACTAAAAAAGAAGGTCCAGGTAGGGTGGCAAACGCCTTTATTTCCAGTACTCAGGAGGCAGTGATAGGCAGATTTCTGTGAGTTTGTGTTCAGTCTGTTCTAAATAGTTCCAGGCTAGCCACAGCTACATGGTGAGACTTGTCTCAACAAAATAAAATGAAGCTAAAAATAAAGAATACAAAAGATTGAAAACCATGTAGTCCCCCTTCCTGTGCAGCTTTTGCTCACAGTTTAGTAGCTCAGGCAGGAATGCTTTCTACAGAAAATAAATTCTGCAGCACATCGCTGAATAATCCCTCTTCACCTACAGTGCTGTCTGAGTAGTGCCACCAAATCCAGCACCATGCAACCATGATCTCGCCCCAGTTCCACTCTCCCCAGGTACTGAACCTGCGATGATACAGGTACCTCCACTTAAAAGGTAATTATCAAGGGCCGGGTGTAGTGGCGCACACCTTTAATCCCAGCACTTGGGAGGCAGAGGCAGGCATATCTCTGTGAGTTCAAGGCCAGCCTGGTCTACATAGTGAGTTCCAGGACAGCTGGGGCTACAGGGAGACCCTGTCTCAAAAAGACCAAAAAAAAAAAAAAAAAAAAAAAAAAAACCAAAAAAAGGTAATTATCAAAAGATTAACTGGAGCAGTCCAGTCTCTTTTAGGGACTTAAAGGGCCATAGAAGGAAACTGCCAGTTGATAGAAAAGAAAGTTGATAGTAAAGCAAGCTCCCTACAGTCACGGACTTTTCCAGTCATGTGTAATCTAGTGTTCCATCTGTCTTCCCACCCCACCTGACCCATACTCCACCAAAACAGTACCGTTTACAACCTAGCACATAATGGGGCTGGACAAATGGTTCAGCAGTTAAGAGCACTGACTGCTCTTGCAAAGGACCAGGGTTCGATTCCCAGCACCCACATGACAGCTACAAACCGTCCTTAACTCCAGTTCCAGGGGAATCCAAAGCCCTCTTCTGACCTCCATGGCATTGCACCACACGGGTGCACTCACATACATGCAGGCAATACTCTCATACACATAAAATAAAATAATAAATAAAATATTTAAAAAAAAAAAACAACCTAGCACATAATGAACACTTAGGCTCAAAACTTAGTGTTTGAGTTTCTTTTAATCTTTCAAAGACCAGTTAACAGAGATGCCGTGAAAATATTCTAATAAAAGATCAGACTTATATGGCCTGAAATGGATGGTATATAATGCTTTTACTTCAAGCACCCAAACGTATTGTAAGATGTTTTCAAATTTCATATATCTCATTAAAAGATCGCATGGGCATTATTTAGTGCAAACGCATGCTGTAGCTTCTTTAGTTGAAGCTTCTAGGTAACTTTTCCAGCCCAGGTTACAGGCTGCTGAAGCAGAACTTCTGGAAGATTAACCTAGGGCTTTGGTGCCGGGAAGTGACTAGACAAGATTCCGGACTGCATCGATTGCTTTTGCCTGGGCAGCCGCAGAGGGCAAATCGACTGCTCAGGTCTGGCGGGTCCCCGGAACGCGGGAAAACGAGTTTGTGGACCGCGGACTCCGGGATCTCCGCCTCCTCAGCCCTGAGGAACCGCCAGCCTCCTCAGCTCTCCCCGGCTGCCCGCCTGGCGCTGCACCTTCTGCCTGAGGAGACGAGGGGACGCGGCCGCCGCCATGTCGGAGGCCTACTTCCCGGTGGAGTCCGGCGCGCTGGGAGCCCAGGAGAACTTCCTGTCCTTGGACGACATCCTCATGTCTCAGGAGAAGCTGCGGGTGCGCACCGAAACGCCCCTTCCGCGCCTGGGCGCCTTCTTCCCCGAGCGGGGCGCCGTCGACCCCAGCAACGCGCTGCAGCAGGTAAGCTGGGCCTGGGGGGACCCTGGGGAGGAGACGTGAAGGGAGGCCGGGGGCTTGGGGGAACCCCAGGAAGGGGACGTGCAGGGAGGCCGGGGCCTCGGGGGACCCCGGAAGGGGGCGTTCAGGGGGCCGCGGATTCGGGGGACCCTGGGAAGGGGTGTACAGGGAAGCGGGGGGCTCGGGGGACCCGGGGGAGGAGGTATGCAGGGAGGCCACTGGGTTGGGGAGACCCCACAGAGGGAAGGGGAGGAGTCCCGGGAAGCTTCGGGGTTCGGAAGATCTTGGGGAGGGGGGCTGGGAGGCCGGGTCCAGGGAGGCTTTGGGTTGGGAAGCCTCCGCTGATTTCATCCTTGAAACTGTCCAGAGTCATTGGAGGCTTTCTGAAGGCTGAAGGATTGGCTCCAACTCGGTACCTCTGGATCCGGGTTCAAGTCATGTTTCCTTTAAAACCACTTTGAGGTCTGTAAGAGCGTGTGAGTCTGGGAACTGCAAATTGCCATATTCATTCAGCAAAATGGTGTGTATCTGCATGTAGTCTTAGTTAGGATTGAGTTAGGCCATGAAGGCTGGAGGGGGTCGGTGGGGGTGGGGGAGGTGGAAGAAGCTTTGATCCTCTCATTCAGGTAACAGGTAACAAAAATTGGGGCCCTTCTGCAGGGGCCCACATGCTGACTTAACCTAGTCAGACCTCAGGTAAAGGTCGCTGATACTGTTAGCATGTGCAGAGTGAATACACTAATTTCAGTACCATCTGTGAGCCCTGTTATCCTTCCATAACCTAACGAAGGTTGGGTAAAGTAGCCAGGATCCCACAGTAAGTGGTGAACTGGGATTCGAATCTAGGACACTATGGCTTCAAATAAAAATTTGTCCAAAGACCATGACTTGAAATGATCATTTTCATTGCCTGTTAAAGTTTTGATTAGAAAGGTATATTTGTTTTGTCTGCTTCTAGGTAATTTTTATCAAAGTAACATACCACATTTTGAAAGTCAAATAGTACCAAAAGATTTTTTTTTTTTTTTTTTTTTTTTTTTTGTCTTTTTGAGCAAGGTCTCCCTGTAGCCCCAGCTGTCCTGGAACTCACTATGTAGACCAGGCTGGCCTTGAACTCACAGAGATATGCCTGCCTCTGCCTCCCGAGTGCTAGGATTAAAGGTGTGTGCCACCATGCCCCACCATGCCCCACTGAGCTCTACTACTGAGCTGTATCCCCAGCCTAATTTCAGTCTTTGGAAAATTAGTAAAGCTTTGGCTTATGTTGTAGCATAAGATAATTTATTCTACACCAACTTGGAAAGATGTATATTGTGAAATCATGAGGTATAATAAATAATTGGTATTTGTAAATTAGTTATTTGCTTTGCTGAGATTTTCTGTCTTTATTTTTAGTGTGCTGCTTTTCACTAATTGTAAGAGTTATATGGAAGTCTCCATCATAGTTATGCATCTGTTTCTTCTTTTGCTTCTGCCAGTACAGATACTTACATTTTTTGGCAAATATAATGACCCTTTTATCATTGCAAATCATTCTTCTTAATCTCTAGTGATGTTTCTTCTTTTTTTTCTGTGTAGCCTTATGTAACCTTTGCTGGATTAGAACTCTGTAGACCAGGCTAGCCTCCAGCTCACAGAAAGCCTTCTGCTTCTGCCTCCTGAGTGTGCATTTTTCCTTTGATTAGTGTTTGCTAATTTTTTTCTAGCTCTCCATATTCAGCATTTATATATCTTTATTTAAGATATGTATCCTAAACAGCATATATTTGGTTTAGTGACATATATTCTATTATTTTAGTGTCTAAATTATTTTTGACTAATTAAAAGTTATTTTACCACTTCATAAGACAGTAAATACTAGGATCATAAAACAGTTTAATATCATTCCATTCTCTCCCTTCCTTTGTGTTAACCTTCATATATACTGGACTCATTTAAAACCCTATAAAGGGTCTGGAGAGATGGCTCAGTGGTTACGAGCACTGACTGCTCTTGGAGAGGACCTGGGTTCAAAAACAGATTTGCTTATGTATTTTATCTATTGCCCTCTTTGTTTCTTCTGCATTTCCAAACTTCTTTCTAGAATAATTTTTAGTCTCCCTGCAAGACTTCCTTACTCTAGGTCTTCTGGAAATTAAATTCTTAGTTTCTGTCTGTCTCAGGGATCCCTACCACCAGCCCCAGGTTTGATGAACAGCCAGAGGAGTCATAGGATTCCACAGAAGCATACTCACGGCTGCAGCAATAGGATGCAAAGCAAAATCAGCAGAAGGAAAGGGTTCCTGGGGTGGTTCTTCTGGAGGAGACCAGACACAAGCTTGCAGAGTTTTCCCCACACCATCTCACATCACATGGGCCACACTTAAATTCTCCTATAATGAGTTCTGACGGTGTGAAATGTTATCTACCAGGAAAGCTTGTTAGGATGTCAGTGCCCAAGGTTTTGTTAATGAACTGATCAAATAGACACCTTCTACCTACCACAAATCAAAACTACCTAGATCATCTGTAAGAAAGCTGGTATTCAGTCTGAACCACATTGTTTCTGTAGTTAGACCCAGTGATAAGCTCATCAGGCTGGAACTGTTGGGATCCTTCCAAATTCCAAATTCCCATATCCATCCAAGCAAGCAGGCCTTGTTGTCTTTTCTTCATTCTTTGAAATATCTTAATTTCAACTTCTAAAGGATATCTTCAGTGGGTACAGAATTTTACATTAGCAGTTACTTTAGCATTTAAAAAAGTTATGGGGGGGGCTAGAGAGATGGTTTAGTGGTTGAGAGCACTGGCTGCTCTTGCAGAGGATCCAGGCTTGAATCCTAGCACACACATGGCAGTTAACCATCTGTAACTCCAGTTCCAGGGGATCTGATGCCCTTTTCTGTCCTCGCAGGCATTGCACAACACGGGTGTACATGCAGGCTTAACACTTATACACCTAAAATAAAAATAAATTATTTTTAAAGTTATGGTCTGGAAAGATGACTCAGCAGTTAAGAGGATGACTCAGCAGTTAAGAGCACTGGCTCTTCTTACCGTGGACCTGACTTCTGTTGCCAGCATCCACATAGCAGCTAAGAACTGTCTGTAACTCCAGTCCCCATGGATACAATCCCTCTTCTGGCCTCTGCAGGCATTGTGTGCACAGGTACACTTAAATACATGTAGGAAAAACATAAAATCAATCAACAAAAATTTCTGTTGGGTGGCATCCATAGTTTTTATAGAGAAGTTGGCATTTATTTATTTATTTATTTATTTTAGACAAAGTCTTGCTACATAGCCCAGGCTACCTTTAAACTCTGTCCTCCTGCCTCTACCTCCAGAGTGCTGAGATTACAGGTGTGTGCCCCACACCTGCCTTATTCCTTCTTTAAAGGCAGAGTAAGCTGGGCCTGGTGGTATAGTCCTATTATCCTAGCTACTTGGAAGGCTGAGGCAGAAGGATTGCAAGTTCAAGATCTGCTTAGGCTACAGAACAGTGAGTTCAAGGCCATCATGGACAACTAGGGAGAGTCTGTCTCAAAGTGAAAAATAAAAAGAGGTCTCAGACAGCTGGGGCTACAGGGAGACCCTGTCTCAAAAAGACCGAAAAAAAAGTGTTTAATCTCAGCATTTGGGAGGCAGAGGCGAGGTGGATCTCTGTGAGTTCAAGACCAGCCTGGTCTACATAGTGAGTTCCAGACCAGCTGGGGCTATAGGGAGATCTTGTCTCAAAAAGACCGAAAAAAAAAAAAAAAAAAGAGGGCTCAGTTATAGCGTGCTTATCTCTTATGCTGTACAAAAAAGTTTCTTGAGTTCAATTATATTTTTCAGTTCTAGAATTTCTATTTGATTTTTTAATTTACGTGGAAGTCAGTGTTTAATTACTCTATCACTTGTTGCAAATGCCGGGCTTTACTCCTCCTTTCTCAGATCTTAGCTACTCAAGTCCTAGCTACTTAGCACCCTTGGATTGAGTGTTTGTCTACAGGCCCAGGAAGTTTGTCAAAAGCTCTACTTAGACCATTCTACCCCCAGAGCTGTTCTCTCCCTTTGCAGCAGTCCTCCTTTGTGAGAGATGTTTGTTTTCATGGCTTCCTTTAGTCCAGTAATTTTTGTGCTTTTTGTTTATTTGTTTAAGATTTCTTTTAATTTGGGACTGGAGAGATGGCTCAGCAATTAAGAGCACCTGCTGCTCTTGCAGAGGCTCTGAGTTCAGTTCCCAGTACCCACATGGTTGCTCACACCATCATAGCACCAGTTCCAGGGCCTCAACAGGCCCCATACGTGCATGTGGTATACATATATTTCAGAAAACTTCCTCTTATACTGTATTTTTGTTCTTTGCCATAGTTTTGCTGTTGCTTCTATACAATCTATTTTCTCTCTCTACCACATTATGTCGAAGAACTTTAGCTCAAGCTGATCTCATAGACTTTGAGAGTAGGGTAGTGATTGCTGGAGGCTGGAAAGAGCAGAAAGCGGGAGGACAGGAGAGCTTGATTACTAGATACTAGGTTATAGTTAGATAGGATTGAGGCATTCTGATGTGCTACTGCATAATAGAGTTATGTGCTACTGCATAATAGAGTGACTGTAGGCAGCAGCGAGACACATAATGTTTTTAAAAGCTGGAAGAAAGGATTTTGAATGTTTCCACTCTAAATGATACAGAAGAATGGGTATTTAACCTGATTTAAACATTTTGCAATATGAAAGTTTCAAAACATCACATAGTGCCCCTTTAAATATGTACCATTTTGACATATCTATTAAGAATGTGTGAATAAGGACTAGAGAGAGAGCTCTGCGGGTAAAGTTCTTGCTGCATAAGCATAGGACCTGAGTCTGGTTCCTCAGTACCCAGGCATCACTGTGTATCTCTTAACTCCAGCACTCAGTGACAGGGCAGGGCTGTGAAAAGACAGGTGGATCCCTAGAGCCCACTGGCTAGTTAGTTTAGTAGAAACAGTGTCAAGTTCAGCAAGAGTACCTGTCTCAAAAATAAGGTGGAGAAGCGAACAAGGAAGAAATCTCAACATCAACCTCGGGTTTACACACACACACAAATCTAAATAAAATTAAGTCTGTAGTTCATTTCTTCAGGTCTTCTGTTTGATAGTTGCTACCCCCTCCCCCCCATTAGAAGAGGCAAGATTTCCCAGAGTTTTCACACTTACTATGCCTTTGTTTTTAAATTCTGTTCTTGTCTGTTGCAGGGTGCAAAGCTTGAACTTCCCTTGTGGCTGGCTAAAGGACTCTTTGACAACAAACGGCGCATCATTTCTGTGGAACTTCCCAAAATCTACCAAGAAGGATGGAGGACTGTGTTCAGTGCAGATGCCAATGTGGTGGACCTCCACAAAATGGGGCCCCATTTCTATGGGTTTGGCTCTCAGCTCCTGCATTTTGACAGTCCAGAGAATGCAGATATTTCCCAGTCTCTGCTGCAGGTAATTAGTGGGAAGCATTGGGCTATACATGTCTCGAGAGCCAACTGTGACAGCTACCAGACATCACTTTTACCTCGTGTATTAGTCAGGGTGTTCTAAAGGAACAGAACTGTTAGATGGGGGAAGAAGAAAAAACATACATGGGATTTGGTAGATCCGCTTACATAGCATAGTCTTGGTAGTCCAGCATTGGTTGGCTCTCACTGGAGAGGCTGAGAGTCCAGTAGTTGCTTAGTCCACGAGGGTGGATGTCTCAGTAGTCCAATATGGCACTGAAGGCCTGGAGGATTCCTGGAGAGCTGCTGATCTTCAGTCTATGCTGGAAGCCTGAAGAAGCTGGCTCTGATACCAGCTAAGGAATGCCACAGCAGCGGGATAGACGTTCACTTGAGAATGAAAACAAGCAGGCAAAAAGCAGTTTTCCTTCTTAGTGTCCTTTTAGCTGGGCTGCCATCAGAAGGTGCTGCTCACATTTAAGGTGGGTGTTCCTGCTTCAAATAATCTGATCAAGAAAATCCCTCACCGTAGTGCCAAGTGGCTTGCACTTTAGTGTACTTCAGAGCCAGTAAAGTTGACAACCAAGATTAACCATATACCCAGAGAAGTGTATGAGTCAAAACTTGGTTTGTTATTATTCTAGGTTGGCCTACACTATACTGTGTCTACACAGTATAAAAATTGTATTTTTAATTTAATTTTTATATTGATATTTAAAAACATAGAAGTTCCTATGTAAAAAATTGAGCCAGGGATATAGGTCAATGGTAGAGTGTCTGCCTATTGTGTGTGAGGCTGAGTTCAAGCCCTACCATTGTAAAAATAAAAACCATGAAAGTTTTACATATTAATATATTGAGGGGCCGGGCTTGGTGGTACATGGCCTTTAATCCCAGCACTGGAGAAAGAGGGAGGCAGATCTCTGAGATCCAAGTGTAGTCTACATAATGAGTTCCTTCAGAGGAATTGGAGGAGTTGGGGGTGGATATGATCAAGGTATGTTGTTTATAAGTATGAAACTGCCAAAGACTAAATAAAAGCTATTGTACTGTTTTTAAAGCTAATCCAGTTGTATAATAGCTCTGTGGACAGACACTCAAAAGAACGGGAGACACAGATAAAGCTTTAAGCAGAGAATCTGAGATTCATGGTCCACAGATGCAGATCCTTCTCAGTCCTAATATTTTATTTTATTATTTTTATTTTATTTTGTTGTGATGTGATGTGACGTGACGTGACATGATGTGATGTGAGACAGGGTCTCCCCTGTAGCCCCAGCTGGCCTGGAACTTACTAGATAGACCAGGCTGGCCTTGAACTCACAGAGATCTGCCTGCCTCTGCCCAAGTGCTGGGACTAAAGGCATGTGCCACCACGCCTGTCCTGTCCTGATCTTTTATTCAGTACTAAAATAATGATGAGTTGAGTTCACAGGAGATATTGTAGGCCCCAAGAAAATACAAGACATACAATAAGTTACATACAATAACAAGCTAAAGAATACAATGAATAAATGGTATCAGGTAAAGCCACCTCGAAACTAAATTTATGTGTCAGAAACGTCTGGTTCTTAGAATAGCTTTAGTCCAACCAAAGTGTATTCAAGAACTTAAGAACGCATGTTTTTCCCCAGTGGTTTGCCTTCTGGGATCACTGCTTACAGTGACCACATAGTTCTTTTGTCCTTTCATTGGATGTTAACTCTGGAAGTATGCCATAAACCATCAAATTGCAAGATGTATTAACTCTTTATGAAGTGGCTTGCTACACAGTTGGGCCTGGCAATTACATGGCCATGGGTCCACCCAAGAAAGCTGATTGCCTAAAGGCATGCTAAGGAGAGAGGGGACTAATTATCCCCTTGATGATGATATGCTTATCCTTTCCTGGAGGGTGCAGGGCTTCCATTAGGCAGTGCTGCAGAGCCTGGCTGCTTTTCTGAGACTTAAAACAGCATAGCTTTTTGTTTGCCTTTTTTCCTATCTTTTGGATACTGGACAGAAAGCCTAAGCATGCTTTCCTTGGCACTCTAGGTTTTCCCACTCTTTCTGAGGCCCTCCCCCTCTTCTGCCATGTGGCTGCTTGCAAAAGGCATGGCTTTCTCTCTTCCTCTTTGCTCCCTCTCTTAGGCAGCTGCCAGAATTTACAGCTTGCCTGCCCTGTTTTTCTTTCAAACTTTAATCATCCTCATGCTTCAAAAAAAAAAGTTTTGCTATTAATGGGGTCCTATGTGATGTTTAATACATGTATACATTGTACAATATTTGTCAGGTTAAACATCTATCTCTCTAACATTAATGATTTCTTGTGTGTGGTGTGTTTATGTGCATGTTCATATGTATGAGTACGGGGGCATACTTGCCATGGCACACATATGCAGGCCATCTGTTGCCACATAATTGTATGGTAGCACTCAGGAACTTTTTACTCTGATCTTTGTTTTTAAAATATGGGGCCGGAGAGATAACTCAGTGGTTAAGAGCAATGACTGCTCTTGCAGAGGACCCGGGTTCGATTCCCAGCACCCACATGGTGGTTAACAACCAAATATAACTCCAGTTCCAGGGAATCTGACACCCTCTTCTGACCTCTGCAGGCATTGCACAACTCAGCTACACTTCGATTCATGCAGGCAATACTCTCATACACATAAAAATATAAACAATAAATGAAATATTTTAAAATATGACCTGTCCTTTTTCATATTTTCTTCTTAAGAATTGGGACCAGGGGCTGGAGAGATGGCTCAGTGGTTAAGAGCACTGACTGCTCTTGTAGAGGACCCAGGTTTGAGTCCCAGCACCCACATGGCGGCTACGAACCATCCTTAACTCCAGTTCCAGGGGGATCTGAAGCCCTCTTCTGACCTCCGCGGCATTGCACCGCACAGGTGCACTCACATACTTGCAGGCAATACTCTCATACACATAAAATAAAAAATAAAAATAAAAAATAAATAGCTTGTGTTTAAAAAAAAAAATTGGGACCACCAAGAAATTGAAAAACTGAGACAAAATGATGGTTTATAGGTGACAGACATTGTTACTCCTGATCTAGTCACAGAGCTGGCCTGGGGTTCCTGTTAGAAATACTTGAGTTATTTGGTTATTTGTAACCTTCTTTTCTAGAAATGGTACTTGGCTCCCCATTAACTGTATGTATGATTTACTTAGGCTACATGACCTATCTAAGCATCACCTGTAAAATGGAAATAATAATAGCATCAAAAATCAGAGTTATGGTAAAAGCTGTATAGAATCATGTCTGTTAATTCTATAAACAGTAAACATTTTTTCACAAATACAACAATTTTATCTATATATTATCATCCTTTATGGTGTCTCCTAATCTAACCCTCCATAATTATTTTATTCTTTTAATAGTAGAAAAAACTATCCTTCATGCCTCTTAAGCCATAAATAGTCAAAAACGCTTTAGTTCTTCATTTTTAGTTTTACAAGAGCTATTGGCTCAAGGGCTCAAGAGATAGCATTTAAGAGAGCTTGCTGCTCTTGTAGAGGACCTAAATTTGGTTCCTACCACCCATGTCAGGCAGCTCACAATGTCCTGTAACTCCTGCTCCAGGTGCCCTCTTCTGGACTCCTTGGGCATCTGCACACACATGCACATACCCACACAGAGACACAAATACACATAATTTAAAATAAACTATTGACTCAAGACAGTTTGCTCCCTATGCTGTGCTGACATCCCATCAAGCTTAAAGGTTCTATGGTCTCCCATATACTTGTGCTGCTTTGGATGTGGGTTGTAAAGAACAATGCTTTCCATTCAGAAGAAGTTCATACATAGACTAGAGGCTAGAAGGTTGAACTCAAGCTTGTGAAAGTCTTAGTAGCAAGTTTAAAATGAGGAATGTCTTACCATGACTACAGAACTTGTTATGTTTGTTTGAGACAATTGAAGAAACTGTAGTAGGGGCTTATGGGTTGAGCCCATTGGTAAAATGGTACCCCTCAACCTTAAATATCTTCATCCTGCTTTTACACTGAAAAAAAGAGAAATTACATTCAGTGAAATCAGAAATCCCTTCTGGTTGAAAGCTGTTGGCTAAAGTTTCTGTAAGCCTTTGTTACCAGTAACAACAGCAATGGATAACGCTTTCTAGGAGCTTACTGTGTCCTAGCCACTTGCTGTGTGCTTTACACATGTTACTTCACTGGTTTTCCTAACAATGCATTGGATTTCCATAGCAGTTTAGTTCAGTCAGAGAAACCAAGGCTTGGCAATGTGCAACAGTTTATATGATAGCAGAAAGTACTCAGGTCTCCTGACATTCCTGAGACCATTTGGAGCCATTTAAATGTTCAAGTATAGGAGTTAGAGAGATGGCTCAGGATTAAGATCAGTGCTTTAGATCCTCTTGCAGAGGATCCAAGTTCAGTTCCCAGTACCTATGTCAGGCAGCTTACAGCATTTAATTTTAAAATGCCAAAAACCAATCTTTAAATGTTCAAGCATAAAAATAGGGGACAGCAAGATGGTTCAGTATTGTGAAGGCATTTGCAACTGAGCCTAATGACCCACATGAAATTTCTGAGATCCACATGGAAGGAGAGACCTGACTTGTGTAAGTGGTCCTTTGATCTCTATACATGTGCCATGGAACATGCCCCCCCCTCCGCCAAAGGAAATTAATGTAATTTTTTTAATATGTCTGGCTTTATGGGGTGTGATGGACTGATATCTCTTACTCTTTTCCTCAGACTTTCGTTGGCCGGTTTCGCCGCATCATGGACTCCTCCCAGAATGCTTACAATGAAGACACTTCAGTGCTGGTAGCCAGGCTTGATGATATGGAGAAGAGCTTATTTCAGATGGGGCAGAAAGGACTGAATGACTTCCAGAGTTGGGAGAAGGGTCAGGCTTCTCAGATCACAGCTTCCAACCTGGTTCAGAATTATAAGAAGAGAAAATTCACCAATATGGAAGACTGAAATCAAAGCACAGAATTGGTCCTTGTGGACTTATCTGTGTGTCATCGTTAACTTCATATAAGACTACAGCCCACAGTAGTCTCAAAGCTTGGGACCATCTGGTTGGGGAAGGGCGTCGTGGATGCCCCTGACCTTGCTGTTCTTCCTGTATTTCCCTTCCTGGTTGTTCTACAGCCCAGGCCTTTTGCCCCAGCTAAGAAATCAAAGTTCATCCTAATTAAGGGATTGGGGCCATATTCATGGCAGTAGTTGGAGCTGGGATTTCTTGTTTCTGGAAGTGTGGACAGCCTCATGTCTGGTTTCACTCTGCAAAGGACAGGTACAAAGTGGGTCATCTCTGCCTGTTCACAAAGTTCTCTTGAGTTTACTTGCCCTATCTTCCTCTTTGAACAAAGGATAGCATCCACATGATGCTGCCCTGACATGTAACTATCTCCTGCTGCCTGCCTGCAGGGAGTTATCCCAATTTCCAAAACAGGAAATTGGAAGAAAAAGGGAAAGGCAGATGAATGACATAGTGGAAAAAAGATGTTGAATTTTTGTACCCTGTAATCAGAGCTTTTGAAGTGGAATCACATCCCTGCAGTCAGCGCAAAAGGGTCAAAGCTAAACTATGCTTGTGTTTGTGTCAGTGGCGCCCGCACACTTGTTCCATTCCCTGCCTAAAAAGGCTGTCAGGGAGGTGTTAGGAATTGCAAAGTAGTTATTAAAGGGTGTTAACCAGCCTTTGTTAATGCAGAACTATAGGGTTGCAGGTTCTGAAGAGTTCTAGCTAAGAAGCTTAGCATGGAAAGTGTTAGTGGGAAAGATGCTGTGATTATTTTTTTTCCTCTTCAGGAAAATTTCTTACAACTTTAATACAGAAGACTCCTGACCACTTGAAAGCACCAAACTCCTCTCAGGAGATCAAGGAGGAGCCCTCAGGCTAAATAAGAAACATCATTTCCTGGGACCCATCAGACTGTCCATACCACTGTCCTCCCTCAGCACCTACACCTAGTAGACATTATCTTTGTTGTAATGTGGAAAGATTTGGGTGTTCAGGTCATGCAGATGTCTTCATATAAACGTAGAATGACAGATAGGTATATAACTGCCCATTTTAAGATGAAATCGTTTTTTAAATTTGATTTTGGTTCTAAATAAATGATGATCTTTGCTTACAAATACAATCCATGCAAGTGCTATTTCTGTAACTCTAGTGCTGCAGATGATCAGCAAACCATCAGAGAACTTTTTCTTTGAGTGTATTTGACAATAATATTGAAATGTGTGTTCTAGCAACTGCTCTTTTGTTTTTACAATGTGCCTAAATAAAAGGCACATTCTCTGTCAGAATGTGCTGTGCCCTAGGAAGATCACACCGTATCACTAACACAGCTTCTGTACGTAGTCAGAGCCCAGGAGCATTCAGAGTGAGAAAAGCATATTTTAACTTTCAGCAGCTCTATTTTCACAGATAATTTTGTTTTTACAGTTATTAGGACTGTTGGGGTTTTTTGTTTTTTTTTTTTTAAATAAAATGAAAAACAGGACTTGAGAGATTGCTTAGTGGTTAAGAGTACTGGCTGCTCTTGTAGAGGACCCACGTTCGAGTCCCAGTGCCCATATGGCAGCTACCAACCATCTGTAACCCCAGTTCCAGGGGATCCGACACCCTCTTGTGTCTGGGCACTGTGCACACTTGGTGTACATTCATAGATGCAAGTAGAACACTCATACACATAAAGTAAACAAATCTTTATATATTTGAAGATAGGCATGTACAGAATTTATTTTAAATGTTTGAACAGATTATGTCACGTAACTTTTGAACCCGTTTTCAGTTATACATGTGCTTCAAGCCTGTCAAACTATCCCTCTCCCCCCTAGCTGTCTCCAATTCAGGTTTTTAGATTACTGTTTGGTTCTTTCAAAAAGTTGAAATTTTTCAGAAAGGATCAAATATTGTTGCTAAAATGCAGAGATTTTAGCAGGCTCAGTTTCCAGGTAATCTTAATTACTGACAAAAGTCCACTCTGCGGATTTCCTCCAGGGACAGCTTGGGCTGCAGGGAGGAGGGGCAGGGCTGTATCTCCTCTGGGTTCCTTGTGCCATCTCTGAATTTTAAACAGCTCCAGGTTTGGGTCTTCATCTACATGCTGATGACTCCCAAGTTCAGGTCTGCAGCTCTGCTTTGTCCCTCTGATCCTAGATTTGTGTCCAGCCCCTGCTTGCTGTTTCCACTTGGGCATCTGACTGATAAGACTGAGCTTCCAATCTCACCCCTAGTCTACTCCTTTGGCCTTTCCCATCTCTATTGATGATGACACATCCTTCTTTGTTGCTCATGACAAAAACCTTCATTGTCCTTGACCATTCCTCTTTTTCCATCTCCTTTGGGCCTACCTTCGGGTATTTGTTGCCTGACCATCTCTTTCCTACCTCCAGTATTGTCACATGGATTCAGGCTCCTACCAAGTCTCTCCTGGATTGTTGTTATCACCTAACTGCCTTCTCACATTCACCCTCCACCTTAAGACTTGTCTCACCATAGCAGCCTGAGGGGTCTGATTCAAAAATCAGGTCTTGTCTGTTCTTGACTCAAAAACCTTACATCTCAGTGAAAAAGGCTACCCAGTCATCCCAGCGCAAGTCTGTCTTTAGCCCAGTATTCTAGTTTGCTTTCTGTTGCTTTGGTTTAAAAAAAAAAAAAAAAAAAAAACCCTGACAAAATCAAGTTGGGGAGGAAAGGTTTTATTTAGTTTACATTTTTTTCCAAGTTACATACAATCAAGGGAACACA